GCCCCAACTCCCCAATCGGCCCTGCTCTGAGCCTGACCAGGGGCTGCACTTAGGGATTGGGCCTGCCCTCTGCCACCCGGAAGCAGGCCTAAGCCAGCAGGTCGTTATCTCCTGAGGGGTCCCAGACTGCGAGAGGGCACAGGCCGGGCTGTGGGACCCCCCCTCCCCCGCCCCCCGAGTGCACAAATTTTTGTGCACCGGGCCTCTAGTTGTAAAAATAACAAACCCAGAATTTGCACACCTTCCTCTCCCTTCAGGAATGATAGCTGGGCTATCCAATATGATAGCTGCCACATGGATTATGAGGCCTCTCCTTTTCCCCGCTTGTGTAACAAATTAGAAATATAAATAGTATTAACCCTGGAACTCTGAATAATATTTGTTTTAAAGTGGCATCAGCATCACAGCAAAGAAAAAGTGGAAATTTCCTACATCCTCTTTGATAATTCAAAGCTTTCCACTGCATCTCACACAGAAGTAATTGAGGTTTGCGGACTTCAATTGTTTTAATTAATATTGACCATTGTCTGGGGAACGCTGCACTAAAGATCCATAAATGAAAACCCCATTAGGACTGCCTGTTGTTAAGCTTTGTTTAATGGATGTGCAATCGTGGCTGATAAATTCTCTTCAGAAAGTTCCACTGACATAGATCTTCAGGAATAGCATGGAAATGAAAACTGCCATGATACCAATTTTAAACACAAATTAGAACCATGTCAGTAAACTGGGAAAGACCACCCTGTAGAAAGAATAAAATACCTTAAAACTGCTTAAGAGATGGTAGAAGAGCCATTAAGACATTGAGAAAAATCCAAGTGAACATGCTCTTAGATGGTATTTTCTAACTTTTTGAATAAAAACCTATCTTTACAGTAATAATGTTTTTTCCTAAACTGATTTTCCTATCCTGTTAATGAATAATAGTAGCTGTTACTCTGTGTTACTATGTCATTATCTAGGCTCTCCTGAAGTGTTTAATATTTAATGAAAAGACATTATCTTGTCACATTAAAGTGATGGAAAAATTAATGTTCTGGCACAGTAAAAATTGATAGTAACTTAATATATTAGGTTGAATAATTTGTTTCAATACAATCAAATATCACTTAACCTTACAGTATCCAAAATAAAGAGTTTTGATTCTAAAAAAGTAATTCTAATGAATCAGAAACTAGATGTGAATGTGCCTGATCTAAAGGCACTGTAAGAAGCCAGTCACGTCAACAGAATCATGGGAGAATTCTCTTTCTCTGGGGCTTAAATATATTATGGATTCCCAGAGCCAAATGGCTTCATTTCAATTCTATCCTCCTATGAATTTCATGTTTATCTATGTGCCCACCTTCCATGTGTGGCATTTTAGAAGAACCACCACAATATTGCAGCATTTGGGTGCCTCATGCCCAGCACTGTACAAGGCACTTTATATACATTAACTATAACCGGCATCACAGTCCTGATGAATGTGTAAAAGTGGTGCATTTCACATACAAGACACCAGGATTTAAGAAGGTGGAGAATTTGCTCAAGTCCACACAACTAGTTAAGCAGCAGCACCTGAATTTGAATGCGGTCATGACCATTACAGCCCATTCCTAGCCTTTCTTGAAATCTGGCCTCTGAATCACATGGAGTGATTCTTTAAAATGCATCCAACCAGGCCCTGGCATAGACACACTGAATCCTATTCCTTAGAAATGAGGTGTTAAGGTAGACATTACACATTCAAGAAGCTCCTCAGGCGATTCTGTGCCAAGCAGATAAACACGGTTGTTTCTGAATACAAAAAGACAAAATGGGAGTCCGATTCTAATTATTTCATGAATTATGAAAACTCAGGGTTTCCAGTCTAGCCGTGACCTTTCCACTGCCCTGTACCACCTACGCATCAAAGCATGCTGAAATTCCAATGTGCACAATTAGAGAAGAGAAATTCCCAATCTGTTATGCAACTTGATACTCAGTAAGAATTAAGTGGGAAGGAACCACTCATTTAAGTAAAAGAAAAAACCAAAACAAAAACCTAAACAACACCACACACATACTCCAGACTGAAAAAAATGCCACAGGCATTCTGAAGTAGAATCTTAGTGATTTCAAACTGCTTCAGTTATTTAAATAGCAGAATTGTTTATCTGATGGACTTGGTTGCCCAGAACATTCAGAAATATTTACATGAATTATGAAAAAAAATCTCACAGTAAAAGAACTAGAATCCTTTAAACTAATATATGCCAGGCAGTGAACAAAGTGGTTTATAGACAACTTACTTAACTCTTACAATGGTTTTAATATGGGGATTTTATTATTTCCATTTCAAAATGGAAGACATTCAATCTGCTACTAAGGACAGCCCTCCGAATTTGAACCCACCTCCTTGTGCTCTACACCACATCACAGTGCCTCACAGGAGTCTACAGAGTGGTTCTCAAAGTGTGGTTCCTGGATCAGTAAGTAGCCGGGAACTTAATAGCAATGCAAATTATCAGGCCCCATCCCAGTCTTAGAAATGAACAGTTCTGGGGCTAAGACTCAGGATTTGTGTTTTTTGTTTTTGGTTTTTGTTTTTTACAAAGCCCTACAGATGATTCTAATGGATTCTATAGTTTAAAAACCACTGCTCTATTTAGTCTTGGCTACCCAGGAAACCAAAGCAAAAGTGAGCAAACAAGTTCTAGATTTTTTTATGGTGTGGAAGAATTTGATGATGAGCTCATTGTTTCAGGAATGTTGGCGACTTTGCAGCCAAACAAAACTATTTGCCTTGCCTGCTTCATTGCAGGCTTAATTCCCTGACATTTAAATTACTAACCAATATCTGACTTAGTTTATTTCCACTAATTCTACTACCCAAACAAAGTGTCAGTGCTCTAGTAGGACACTGCATGAAAACTTGTGAAAGTCTTTCTTTTTTAAAAAAAGAAACCTCATGTTTAATCAGATTTCCATCCACATCCTTTAAACATAGTTGCTTTCCTTTTCTCAAACTTGACCTTCAGATGCCCCAAAAGGAAAAATGAACCTGAAACCAGCTGGAAAAGAAAGTAAAGCAAGCGATGTGTAAATAAAGGGGGAATCACCAGAGCTCTTTACATCAATAAGAATTGCTGCTACCTA